ATAAGTTAATTTAAATTTGACTTAAAATTTGATTTGAACTTAACTCAACTCAAATAAATTCAAGTCAAAATTGAGTCAAGTTAAATTCGAGTTGAGTCAAATTGAGTTGAGTTTAAAATTTATATAACTCAAATCAAGTTGAGTTGAAAGATTTTATAAAATAAATTTAACTTGACTTGATTCAAAAAAAATAAGTTGAATAGAGTTGATCTTTAAACTCAACTCAACTCGACTCATTCAGAACTCTAAGCACAACCCATTTGCTTTATCTATACAATTTACTAGAAATAGTTTTATTAACATATCTTTTTCTTTAACTTATCTTCAGCGTAATCATATTTCTTTAATTAAAATTCTTATATATACAGTCATCATTGGTTTCTCTTACTAATGCAATAATAACTAGTTATTATACATTTAATTTTTATAATTAAATGGCAATGGTAATTCTTTTAGTAATTATTACTAGAGCCTAACAGAATAACCAGTTAGTCTGATAAAATAGGGTTTTAGGACTCTTTATTCTTATTTAGCAGCTTTCTTTATTTTCTACATCTGTATCACCTCAGAGAATTTTTATGCAAAATTTTACTGATTATGATTATACTTAATAAATAAAAACATTTACCGCTTCTTAAAAAAAAGTGATTAGAATTTTATAAGTTTAGTATTATTAGAATCATCTTATTGAGAGAATTCGAATAATATATGTTTCATATCTGTAGCATTAAGTAATATATTAGTGGGCTTTTTAGGACAATTTTGGGTGTAATTTTTTTAAACACTTCCGTTTTCTATAGATTTCAGTCTTTTACTATGTTCCTGATAAACTTATATAAATCTATATTCAGTGTGTTTTTTTTATATATGACACCTTGTAATGTATTTTTTTATATCTATTTTGATTACTATTTAGCTTTCTGACCCAGAGGAGCACAGCGACTTCGAATGCGAAGCGTAGCTGAGTATTAGTTATCTGATTAGTTCACAATTAGCTTTCTAATACTAAGAAGCATACACCTTAGGTATGTGTAATGCAGTTGCGGAGCATAGCGGAGCATAGTTATCTTATTTGACTGCTAATTAGTATTCTATCACTGTGAGTATAAACTTTTAGGGGAATGCGAAATATGAATGGTGTATTTTTTGATATCCTATTTGGTCACTATTTAGCTTTCTGTTATTGTGAGCACATCCTCTCTATTTGATGATAAAAACTCAATTGCGATATTAAATCAATGATGATTTATTCACGTTTGGTGTATTTTTTTGTTAACTATTTTGATTACTATTTAGTTTTCTGACTTAGAGGAGCATAGCGAGTCCGAATGCGAAGCGTAGCAGAGCATAGTTATCTTATTTGATTACTAAACTGTTTTCTGTCTTGGAGGAGCATAGCGACTCTGAATGTAAAGCGTAGCAGAGCATTAGTTATCTATTTAGTCAACAATTAGCTTTTTTAATACTGCAAAGTAAAGTGAAGCAGTAGCATTCTTAAAGTATTCTTTTGATAAAAAGTATAGTAAAAAATATAATTAGCGGAGCAAGCACAGATATGAAGTGTTATTATTCTATAATAAGTGCTAAAAATTTATTGCAAAGTAATGGACTAAGCCCTAAGTACGTGACAAGTGTATTTCTTGGTCTCACAAAGTGAGGATGCTATGGTATCTAGCAATATCAATTAAACTTATGCTGATTTTCTGACCCTATGGACACTCTTCAAACATCTGAAGTCTTACAGAGTAAGGATATTTTGCATCTGTCTAGCATAAAACTGCATAACATAATAATATCCTTTAGCATATTTTTTACAAGTACTGGGTGTAGAAGAAGTTGGCTTACTACAAACCTTACATAAAATACGTTTTTTTGCTCTCTAATGTTCGTGGCATCCTTCACAATGTCAGCATCTGCATCTACAGACTTCTCCAGAGTTGTGTATATATTCGCAAGTATATTTACCGTGCATTTCGATAAATTTATATAACTGAATTAATTATTTTAATTTAAACAAAAGATCTGGCTATAATAATAAAAAATACAGATTATATATTACTATGGTTAAGATACTTAAATGTCCAGGTTGTGATCGAGAAATAAGAACCGGTAAAACCCGAGATCTTAATAAACACATAAATTTAAATAGAAACCTTCGTAAAGGTCAATGTTTACCGGCTTTGCGTTTAATGCAAAATCCAGTCCCAGCTTCAGTAGGAAATCCAGCTGAAAACCCAATTTCGATGCAAAATGTGACACTAGCTGAAAACCCAATTTCGATGCAAAACCAAGCCCCAGCACCCATTCTCAAAAGTGATCTTATTTCATTCAATGAAAACCCACTGACGCACCAGCCAATCCAGCTGAGAGAGGTAAGTGTATTGATACTCGACTCCGAGATAGGATCTACTTCAAAGCAAAATATCGTAAACTACCAAGATAGTGGCAGAGCCTTATTGCTTCGCAATAAAACTATCTTAATTTATAAAAATATAGCAAATGGGTTTGAGTTTTATGATGGAAAAAGAAAATGGTATGGTGTTAAAGAAGATTTCTGTACTTTATCTAACAAGTACTATTTTATTAAATCGGATTTAAAAGAAACAACTATAAAAGCCTATAAAAGAATTATCAAAGAATCAGAAACTATAGCAGAAAAAACAAATGGACAAGTTGATATGCGAAAATCTGGAAGTTATACATTAACAAGTTTAAAACTTTTTAGAGAAACTACTTTAGTATCAAAAAGAAGCGAAAAAGTAAATGAAAAAGAAAATGCTTGGTTAAATTTAGCATCAACAGGTGCTTTAGTATTTGCTGAAAGGTATGAAGGAGAAGCTATTCAATATAATATAAACTCAATGTATGTATATGAAATGTTAAAGAAAGAGGCATCATGGCCTTTTGCACAAGGTAAATTTCATACAATAAATTCAACTTTTGCTAAAAAATGGGGTAAATTTCTGTATGAAATTTATAAAGTAACAATAGAAGGAAATCCTCTAAAGAAAAGCCTTCAATATACAAGATATTTGTGATATAATCCATATGGAATTTATACACATTATGATTTAGAACGTGCTAAAAAAATGGATTGAAAGTATATTTAATGAATGAATCACCAAATGCACTTATATATGAAAAAAATACATGTATTAGTGGAAGAGACATATTTGGTAAATGGGAAATATATTATATAATATTAAGAAAGAAGGTGGAATAGCTAAAAAAGTAAGTAAAGCATTATTAGTTTCATTATAGAGTGTCTTATGTGAGCAAAGAAATGGGCAAAATTATGGTATACATCCACGAATAAAACTATTCTAATTAGTATTAGCACGAAAAAGAATATCAGAAATTGTAAAACCACTAGGAGATCAAGTAAAACGTATACATACAGATGGTTTTATTATAGCTGAAAAAGTAGAACTTAAAACGGGAATAGAAATGGGTGAGCTAAAATTAGAGAAAAGAGGAGTTTGTGTAATAAAAAATTGTATGTCAGTTATATGGAAACCACCATATTCAGAAATTTTAAATTTGACTATTTCGAAAAAAATGAGCTTTGCATTACAAATAGTTTATTAGATTTTGGAAAAATACAAGATAAAGAACAAAATACAAAGTTAGATACAGAATATCCTGTTTTACAGACAGTAAAAAGGAAACTATTAAAAAAGGCTAATATAAATCTTTCAAATGAAATTATAATAGAAATATTTCAACATTTATGAACACAAAATGATATATTAGATACGAAGTGTCCTGCTTCGCAGTATGCTAATAATAAATTATTATCATCAGTTTTATATGTTAATAAATGATGGAATGAATGTGCAACATATTTAATATGGAGAAGAATTACATTATATAGATACAATATTATAAAATTTGTAGAATTAGTAAAAAAGAAACCATTACTGAATGTAATAAAATATATAAAACAGATAGAATTCGAAAGAATAGATAATTATTTTAATACGAATGAATTTCTATTAGAAGACATTGTAGGTATAAGCCAAGATATAATAACTATATCATTTAAGGATTGTGGTTGGGGATTTCTTAACAATAGTCACTAAAAATGACATTGGATATATGCAAGAATCTAAAGCATATATTTATCTATGAAAGTAATCGAATAGCACCAAAAACTGTCTTAAGTATACCAGAAAAATGTACAAGTATAAAAACTATAAAAATACAAAATTGTGAACGAATAACAGATAAAATAGTAAATCAATTAGTGAGTAAATATCTGAAAATTGAAATTAATAAAATAGAAGTTGACTCACGAAGTGAGGATGATATTGCATCTCAAATTATAGAAGATATATTTGACGAAGACTAGTTTTTGGTAATAGATGAGTAAGCTATAAAACTCATTTAGAAGATAACTGTTTTTTTTTCTCACATGTTCAAAAAGATATATAGTCAAAAATAATATATTGGTAGCTGTAATAATCTAGCTTTGAGTAATGAAATTATGAGAAGATGGGATAATAAAACTCGTATTGAATAAATTTATATTATATAAAACAAAATACAGAGTAAGTATAAACTAAGTATAACAGATAATAATTTGAGTTTAATAAATAAGCAGGACTCAGAGTTAACGATACAGGAAGCTATTACATGAAAAATGATTAAATCAGCACAAATTAAAATAATAAAAGAAGCCTTTCGTCTTCGATATAGAAAAGATAGTAAGCTTATTAGTAAATACGCTGTATATGTAAAAAATTTGCATAATGCAGAAAATCGAGATGAGTATATAAAATATACAGCAATAACACTATTTCCAAATGAAGAAACATATAATAAAAGAATGTCGAGATATAGAAAATGATATCAAGGTAAAAAGGAGCTACTTACTAGTATAGAAGATTTATATAATCTTTATTATAAGCTATCCAAAAAAGATAGGCCTATGACTGAAACAGAAATTGAGAAAGCCGTTGAAGATGTACTTATAGATGAGTAGAGCGAGGCTTATTCTTTCAGAATAATTTAATATTGTTTAAGGATCCATTTGGGGGATATTCTACATTATTATTAACTACTATCAATTGTTCTCTTACAAATGATCTCTCAGGACTATCCCTATTTTCATCCATAAGCCAGTATAATACCGGTTGATTTTTTTGTATTAGTGATTCCTTAATACGAAAAATTTTTGGAGACCAATTCATATCGGTTATACGTCTATTACCAAATTCTAACTCTTCAGGTTCGAGTAAATATAAAACAGAATCTTTATAGGTTAACCGAGGTTCATCAAACCCAATAGGTCTTCGATGTTTTACAGATGAATCAGCAATTATCTTTTCACCTTTCAAAGCTCTTTTTACAGCTTCATTAGGTGATATATGAATTAATCGGGTTGGAGTATTATTAAAAGTATCATCATTAATATGAAGACCTTTAACCTATGCTCTAGACCTATCAGACAAAGGTAAATGAAAATCTACGGCATCTTGGCAAATGAAAGCATGTTTTTTAAATTCTTGATGATCGCGCTCTGCTATAGTATTGCTTTTTTTAGATTTTTTGGGATTGAAAAATATGCCATAGCTTAATAATAAATCTTTATACTTAGCTAAATACTCAGTATCTTTATCAGTTCTAAAAACATTAGGCCAAGAAAGAGGATTATTAGGATTCTCATAATTTTTTTTAATTGCTTTTGCAATAGTAGAAGCGGATTTATTAGTTAATGCACAACTTTTACGATATCTTGTAGCGACATCTTTTATTATAAGCCTATATTTAAAAACTCGATTACTAATTTTATCATGAGGCATAGGAGTAAGATCAGATTGATGCATTTCATTTAATCTCTGTATATTATTAAAAGAAGCATACTGAATAAATTTTGGTTGAGGTTTATGAACCAAAAAAGTTATCTGTTTATTTAACCAGTTTTTAATATCTGTTAACAAAAAATTATAACTAGCTATACGTGATGCATTATGCATTTTTTCAACAATTCGATAGTACCCTTCAGGTCTGTAATATAATTTCTGTAAAGCAATTTCACAATCAAGATCATGAGCTCTTTGTGAGTCAATATAAATTATTGCAAAGCAATAACCTGAAGGGTCTACAGATGAATCAGAGATTCGAAACTTTGTTTCTTCAATCATAACTTTTATTATTATAGTGAATAAAAAACATGGATGAATTATTACAGAGTAGGCCGTTAGGTGATTCTTCGAATCATGACCTAAAGGGTCTATGCCAAGCTAATCAAGAACTTCACGATGAAATCGATTGATTAGCTCAATCAAACAGAGACTATGAACGCCAAACATACAATCTTGAACAGGATATAGTTTTACGTGAGGAAAGAATTTGATATCTCAAAGAGGAGTTAGCAAATACAATTGAACTTTCAATACAAGAAAGGGAGGAATTGGAAAAAGAGATATCAGACCTAAAAAAAATTGTCTATCATCTTAAAAAGGAGATCGAATAAAAAGATAAGAAACTTATTACCAGGGAAAATCAATTAGCTGAATTTGATGTAAGAGAAAAGAAACTCAAAATCTGAATTTGAGAAATATCAAAATCTGCAGGTAATACTCCTAAAGCATACAACCAAACGGTAAAGTTAATAGATGAGAATGAACGTCTCAAACGTGAAATTGATACTTTAAAATATAATCTTAGAGATCGAGATAATAAATTAGCTCAGAAAAAAACTCGTATTACAGATTTACATTGTCAAAACTTTGCATTAACATTATTAAGATACCAAGATAGAGTAGAACTTATAAATACTCAAGAAACTTTACAAAATGCTCAGATATGGAATGTAAAAAATGAATATGAATCAGATGAAAATTCTCAAGATAGTTATACATCTAACCCAGATATGACAACAATAGCTGAGTTAGCCGATACTATTGATGGTTATTTGGATAATCCAGGAGCAAATAGAACAATTTTATCCAATCAAATAAAAAGAGTAACACGACAGATATATCGCAAATATAACAATCTTCAAACAGATCTTATAAATGAGCAACAACGAAGATATAATGCAAAAGCAGAACGAGATATACGTCAAACAGAGTTAACACAAACTCAAGGAGATCTTAACTTAATAACTACTGCATATAATAATGAAAGAGTTGTATGCCAGCAGTATTTTTTAGAATTACAACAATGTCGTATCAGAATAGATACGTTGAAAAATGATTTACATTTATGTGATATCCAGATCGATCTTAAATGAGAAAAGTGGAAAAATAGAACTCGAAATGCAGAACAATTAATTTTAAATTTGCAGGGACAAATTTTATTATTACAAAATAATCCACAAAATATGGCAGAAGGTAGACAACGACCAGTATTAAAATTAATCTATCAATCTTTTCAACCAATTCCACAATATATAGGCCAAATGCCACCTGATGATTATGTAAATATATTAGAACAAGCATGGTCTATTGCAGTGCCTCAAATGATGGCTCTTAAAAATGCAAATGCAGGAGATTTTAATGATGCTGTTAAATGCGATGTTTTAAAAAGCAAAATAGATGGAAAGTTTGCTCCAGTACCTGCGAATGATTCTTTTACATTAGGAAATCCTGCTATAAATACACCCGCCACATTATAAGCTTATTTAAATGCCAAATATCAAAGAGAAATAATAGGTAGCCAACAATCTGCAATTCAAAAATTGACTCAAGAAAGATATCAGCCTTATGATACTCCTGATACTTATGAAGCTAGAATTCGACTACTAACAATAGGAGTAGCGGACAATGATGCACAAGTTTTAGGTTTTCTTAAAAATCAATTACCAGGTGAGCTTTATACATGGATGAAAATTGCTAATTCAGCTGGTATTAATGCATTTTTCACTGAATTAAAAAATATGTGGCTAGAACGTATTTCAAATTTGATGAAGGTAAAATTTATCAACAATCTTCCTATAATCCTAAAATAATAGAAGCTCCAGTAATTTCGCAATCACCTGATATACAAAAAATGATTAATGAGACATTAGCAAAATAGAAATCTAATTATGATGCTGAGATAGAAAAATTGAGAAAGGAAGTTCAAACCCCAAAAGCGCAGAAAATACAGGCAACAGTTTCACAAACTATTGAACCAGTTAGACAACCAAGAGGTCTCCCATCAAATTTAAAAACAGAAAATGATTATGAAAATTATTATTTAGCAAAATTCTTTAACAATTTAGGTATATATAGTAAAGAAGATTTAGATTCACATTATCCTAAAAAACCTTTTCAAAGAATAAACCAATCCACTAGAATGGATAGAATAGAATCAAAAGTAGATGAAATTGGACAAATGACATCTCAATTTGAAAAAATGGTACTTGAAAATCAATCCAAAAAACCAGTAGCCAAATCAAATTGAACACAACGATATTATCCTTTTCAACCAATAAAACAAAAAAATTATGACTATAGTAATAATGAAGAAAATAGTGAATATAATGAAGAAGATAATATATGGTATGATGATAATTCTGATATGAGCCTATCTTTGAATGAAAAAAAAAATGAATATTATCACTAATAGATAAGTCATCACAACCAGAGGCTAGCTCACATAAATCTTTAAGTAAAAAACCTAAACTTTTTCCAGAATCAGATGACCAGTTATTATCTTCAGCAATGCGAAAAAAAATCTTAAACCCATCATCTGAAAATAAATGGACTGAATCACTTAAATATATGGAATGCAGAATTGATGATACAATTATTCCTGATGGATTTTCCAATAGTGCATCTGAATGTAATGTAATGAATAATGCACTAAACAATGCATTAGGATGGGATCTTAGAACTGTATCAGATTTTTTCCTTATGCATAATTCTGAACATAAAACAAAATTAATAGGTGGGCATAAAGATGTACCAATAGCTGTAAACATAAAAATGGATGGATTATAGAAACAGTAAATATTGTAATTATTGATGACGGAGAAACTGATTATCTGCTTTGTTTAGGAATGCCATTTATCTGAAAAGTTAAAGAAATTCCAGATTCAGATAAACATGAATTCCGAATGACAGTTCGTGAAAAATCTTACATTATCCTAACTTTTATTAAATCAAATGAAGATATTAATGAGAAGCAACCTTCAAGTAAAATATCAAGCTGTTGTACTACAGTAATACAGGATACTGCTCAAGATACAGAGACATTAGAATCATTAGAGGAATGGCATGCTCTTGAAGGTTTTGATCGGTCAAAGATAGCGAAGCAAGCACCAAAAATGTTAAAAAAAATGCGTGAATTGTGAGAGGACTATTAAAATCATTACCGAGCTTAATATTCATAACAGACTTTTACTATCAAAATACGAAACTATGAATAAAGAGAAAGCTAATTAAGAATTGCTGAAGGTAGTCACTTTGTGAGTATTTAACACATAATCTGAACATTCTATTTGTTTCTCTTTCTCGTTTAACACTTGTTCAAGCAGGGTATCAATAATAGTGGTTGGATCAGAAATTCGAACAGATTTGGACTTCAATCACCTCTTTTTTGTCTGTTTATCTGAGGTATTGTTTGAAGTACATAGACTCGAAGAGCCATGATTCAAAGAATCGCTTAATAGCCTGCCTTGCAATAAAGATATATAGTTGTTTTCTAATTCTTTATTTAGAGATATTGATATTATTTCGGGAGACATTGCACTTTGTATCTGAGATGAATGAGAGTATATCATTTGTTGTTTACGCTCCCAATTCTCAATATATTCTTTGACCTGAATATAGGATATACGATGTTTTTTTGCCATGGTATTAATAGCATCAGGTACTCTACCGAATGATGTTTTAATTTCTTTGATCGCTTCATCTGATAAAAATCTTGCATTAGCGCTATAATATTCTTTATGAATACGACCTATATCAGAATATTTTTATTGTTTATGAACTATTAAAAAAATAAAGAAAATTTTCGAAACATTTTGCTATAATTTGATATATATTGATACGTTTCAAAATGTTTCGAAATATTTGTGTATGCTTTAGAATATTTAAAAATTTTTTAATATGTGTAAACATTTGTACTAATTATTTACCATATCTGTAAATTTCCATATAACATAAATATGTGTATGTGATATGCGATACTTTCTAGTTAAAATCAATATTGCATTTTGCATACCTCTACTATTTATTATCTCACAAATTACTTCAGGTGAAAGGTATATTTTATTTAACTGAAATCCTGCCTTCTCGCACTATATGCTCGAAGCCAAATATATTTAGTTAACAATAATTTTTGATTATATAGTTATCTTCAGCAAGTTAGACACAAAGTGTCCTGCTCCGCAGACTGTATATCTTTTTTTCAAACTTGAGAGAAAAAAAGGAAATTTTATGATTTATCTTATTTTTATTACACATAGTTTAGCCAAAATATATGGCCAATGCGCAAGATAAAGAATCTCGTATTGTAAAAGTTATATCTGGGTTAAATTCTCATAATAAAAAATTACAAGACAGGTATATAAAGCAAGAGCGAAATTTTGATCATGAACAGAGAAGTTGGGAACAGGAGAGAAAAAATGGAGTCAGAAACTGGGTGGGTCCAATACTATGATCCAGAAATTACGTACTCATGATCTCGAACTCATTGATGAAGCTAGGCGTTTACAGATTGAAAACGCTAATAAAGACATTTCTCTTGCAAAGTCCAAAGCTGAGAATGATATAAAATCCAAGAAAATTAGATCGCTTGAGTCTATGATAAAGATATTGGAAAGTAAGTTGTCTTCAGCCCAGAAAGATGTGATTTCGATTCAAAACGACTCATCGAAAAAAGAAACTGAGATAATATCTCTTAAATCCAAAATAGTTGAAGTAGAACACGAGTTAGCTTCAAAAGTCAGTGAGCTCGAGAATCTGAAATTAGAGACTATATCAATACCTGTAGTTGGCGGAAATGATGAAAAAAATATGACCAAGTCTAATGATATATCTGCAGTTATTGAGGAATCAGAGATTCGAGGCTATGCCTCACCTAGCAAAAATCTCAGACAATATTTTGTACGCAGAAAAAGTATAGATCAAGCTAAAAAAATTGATGATGATATCTCGACACAAACTAGTACTTTTGGTACTTGCTTCGTTAATGATGAGATTACTGAACTACCAAAAATTGATACAGAGGTTAATTCTGAAGTAAAGGATAGAACTAGCATTAGTGAAATTAACAAGGATGATATACCAATAAAATCTAATACATCAGAGGCTATGCCTCAAAATGTGACTCCACACCTTACACAACCGGATAATAATAGCAAAGTTAGTGCTAAAGCACATATGTCCTCTTTGATTAAATCGAATTCTCAGATGAGACCTGGTCCTGAGGCTTTGCCTCTTCCAATAGGAGGGATAGGAACAATTCCCATTGTGACAAGTACTTTGATGTTACCGCTATCAGCATATATGTTACTTACTTTGTTGATTATCGCAGTTATGTGGTTCGTGATATTGAGATGCACATGAAGGTTAGGGAGGAAAAGCAAGCAGTTGCAGAATATATGGGTTGGGTATTAAAAAAGAAAGGAATTTTTTATTCAGTTTATAGAAATTATAGTTATGGATTCCCAATCCGTCATACAAAAAAACCAAAAGAAAGAACTATTGCAGAGCAATGGCTCATCGAGCCTATCACCTATGAAACTTTACCTTATGGATATGGATGAGGCCACAAAGTATGAATCATCCCGAAATGTTAGACATCCAGCAATAACATGGCCTTTCAGTAAAGTATTTACTGGTAAGAGTGGTACAGGTAAGACAAATATACTTGGAAATCTTGTTCTGGGAGATAAAGCTGAAAATATATACAAAGGTAAAAAAGGAGGATCCCGATATATTAAGTGTGATGATTTGATAGTTTGTGGATATCACCCAGATGAACCTAAATGGGCATTTGTTAGATATATGTATGGAGTAATTGCAAGTGATCCAAGAGCACCATACTACGAAAATATTAGATTTAAATATATCTCGCCGAAAAAAATTCCTAGTGTAAAATCATTTTCACCTGAGAGAAGTACTGTAATTATTTTTGAGGATTTATGCGTCGCTCCAGAGTCAATACAAAATCGAATAATCCCATTTTTCACACATGGGCGACATCGAAATATAAGTCCAATTTTTGTTTCGCAGAAATATCACAAAGTTCCAATTATTATTCGTGAAAATATCTCCCACTTAGTACTGTTTAACTCTGGTAGTTCGCGTGAAGAAATATCTAAAATTATTCGTCAATATACTGATGATGTGAAAAATGCTTCCATAGTTATTAACAGATACCTCCGTAAAGGAGAATTCATTGTGTTTGGCTTAGACAGGCCAGAAGATGATCTACTTGCAATTAGATTAAGATTCGATACTCCATTAGATTTATAAAAAGAGATTCAACTACAGCTAAAAAACAATGAAAAAGCTGTCATTAAGTGATGCATGTATGATTGCTAAAGAACGTGGTGGACTTTGTCTTTCAACTAGATATATTAATAATCGTTCACCTTTGTTATGGCGTTGTACTAGAAAACATGACTGGATGGCGAGTTTTAATGATATAAAAAATGGTAAGACATGGTGCCCATATTGCGCAGGTAATAGACCTCTTACAATTGAGAATGCAAGACAATTAGCTCGTAGTAGAAATGGAACATGTATTTCTGCTGAATACATTAATGCTAATACCCCAATGCGATGGCAATGTGCAAATGGTCATGAATGGACTACATCTCTTCATAATATCAAAGACGGCAAGACGTGGTGTCCATATTGCGCAAACAAGGTCAGTCATACAATTGAAGATGCTAAGCAAGTTGCTTTTAGTAAGAATGGAGAATGCCTTTCCGAAATGTATGATAATAGTTTTTCACCTTTGTCATGGCGTTGTTCTGAAGGGCATGAGTGGAACGCATCTTTTAACAATGTGAAAAATAATAAGACGTGGTGTCCGTATTGTGCAACTAATAGGCCTTGTACACTTGAAGATGCCAAACAATTGGCTTACAATAGAAAGGGAGCTTGTCTTTCTGAATATTATATTAATAATCGTTTAGCTTTATTATGGATGTGTGATAAAAAGCATAGATGGTTTGCTACTTTTGATAATGTTAAACGCTCAAACTCATGGTGTCCATTCTGTCCAAAATATAAGAGAGAAAAGCTGTGTCATGAGATTTTAACAAAGTATCTCGGTGCCCCTTCACCAATCCGCAGACCCGATTTCTTAAAGACACAAGAATATCCAAATGGACTAGAACTTGATATATTTATCCGCAATATGGCTTCGCAATCGAAGTACAAGGCATCCAACACGAAAAATATCACGAATTCTTTCATGGAGGCGATCCCAATAATTTTATCAAACAGCAAACACGGGATCAACTCAAGAAAGGATTATGCGAAGAGAATTGGATTGCTTTAAGGTATGTTTGGTACTACGAAGACCCATATATAGTTATTCCGGAACATCTTCGAGAATTGGGTCTCATTAAACTTTAAATACTAACTGTTAGGTATTACAGTATAGAAAAATCACTTTTTAATCAACTGAAAAAGCTTTTATTGTTTTTATTATGATTGTTTATTATGAACTGCAAAGAGAAATATATCAATGAAATTATTGTATTCATAATTTATGTAAGATCAATATTTTCGAATCAGTCCAAGATGCCCACATATTACAACCATTTTTAACATCAATAAAGATCAATCCAACTGGAGAAGAGCGTTTGCATACGAAAGTCGCGAAGGTCTTTGTTCAGCTCTTGCATCATCAAAGGATGCTGTAACATCACGAACCAATAACTAAATTTATAAATACATAAGATTAGTGGAAGTTTAATATCATAATGTAAATCCACATTAATACATACCGACCATTTCAATACACTTTCATAGAAATAAACGAAATTTTTCATTTCAGAAAATTTCCGAGGAAGATTGGCATTATCAATCTCGTTTAATCTATACGTTCCTGAATTAATATTTAGTAACAAATCATCAGTACATTCTTAGTGTAATTTTCAAATAGAAAGAAAACACATACCACAATGATCAAGAAAGTATAAATATATCCGAAGACGAAAACTTTGGCCACCGAATACATACAACTTCTTTGGTAAACGTTGCCTGCTTTTGATGGTTTCCTTTACAATATTCGCGAATATATTCTTTAAATTATCTGTTATTTTTTTGATGTCATCGGTTTCCTTTTTATCTTTTGTTACTGGTCTCGAGCCTTCAACATAAATGAGCTGATACTTATCAGCATCCGTCATGTAACCAACTCCATCAGCTCGATTACCATTAGTGTGATTTTTCGACGTTATCTCGCCGAATTCATAGTGTATACCAGCAATGTACCATAAAGAAGCGTCAAGACACGGGTGAACGAAAGCATTAAGATGCGCATGTTCTATTGTGGCAATATTTAAAAGTGGATTCTGTTCTTCGAGTGAAAATGCTTTAATACTACACAAAAGAAAGAAACATTCAGAACAGAATCTGAAAAAATAAATCAATATTATGATAATGCCTACATACAATTGTGGCAATGTACGACGTATAATTCGTACCACTGCATTCATTATAAAATCATCTTTTTCGGGTGCTCTCAAATCATCGATTTGGTAATTCCACTTCTCGGTTGTTAAGTTTTGTGAGAAAAAATTTACAAGAAATTCATGAACTTTTACGGGGACCAACGTCTCTGTCATGGTATCCAATTCCGTTAGATACGATGTTGCTATTTGTCTTGAAAGTTTTTTTTAAAAAGGGCGATTTCAGTCGGAGATCAATTAGATCGCCATCAGGGTATTGCGCTTTATAAATCGTAAAAATTTCTTTTGATGCGTCTGAGAGTTCAGTATTTCCTAAGATATCTGTTATCTGGTAGAAAAAAATCAAAACGTTAAACATCTGTTGGTTTAAAGTGCATTATTAGATAATTACTTACAATATCATCTTGAATAGTTCTCTTCTCATCATTTCCTTGGGAGCAATTTTCAAAAGAATCCTCGGTCGTTGCTTCCTCTTCGTTTTCTTGAGAGGGGTTTTCATCTTCGTATGTAGTTTTTTGGAGAAAGTTCCGACATCCGTAGCTGTAAGTAATCCACGATAATCCGGTACAACTACTCTCCCACTTCTCGTTCTTTTTCCAGATTTAGTTTTGCACTTATTATGAGGTGGAAAGGTAAAAAATGTCAATTTGTTATTTATGTCATAAATTATTGTTGATATTCAGCTATCCATTGTAAAGGAATTAATACGTTAATAGAGTCACTTAATCTCACCTTTTTTGCCGGAATTGTAGCTCCTTCAGTACTCATCTTTTTTTCATCATCATCCACATCTCGAAGATGTTTCCCCTGACGATTGTCGTTGTATGTTCCATCTCCGGTTGAAAATTGGTTTATCTGTCTTACCTTCATAAAATCGACTTTGATTCGTGCACAATCTTTTTTAAAGTTCTTTAGTGGTGCGGTCCAGTTCTTGACAAAACAAAGAATAATTAGTATAATTTCAGAAATATTCAACAATAACAATATAGAGTAAAGGATATAGAGCAAAAGAGCATTGGACCAAGGGCCCTGTCCTTGTAAGACCTAAAGTCCCAGCTTGCACAAAGCGTCGAACCTAAAGTTCAACACTGGAGACCTAAAGTCCCAGCTCGCGCTAAGTGTCGAATCTAAAGTTCATCATTGTCCAGACAAATAGCTCATTCTACTCTATCAGCGTGCATACTTTCCAGTTATCTAGTATTTCCCGAGCTTTTTTCTTCTTTGTCGCGTCAAATCTAGGATTAGAATTTGCAATATCTCGAAGATCTTTATGTATAGAACTCAGTACTTCTTTCAAACCCTTTCGTTTTATTTTTGTACGGTAAAAGCCTATTACTTTGAGACACGTCCAGTCTTCAGTTATATTGTCGAGATAAAAATCGAGGCGTTTGGACATGTTTTGCAGTAGGCTCAAAATAAAAAAATCTATTCTTGCTGTTCTAAAGTCACGGGTCTGTGTCATAAGCGCAGTAACAAAATCATCTCCACGTGACTAGCGAAATATTTATTCGTACTTTAATGGAAAGATAACCGGATGATATACCGAATAAAATTACGGGGGGGGGGGGGTGCAAAATTTGCCTTACGATGAGTGCTTGAGGGGGTAAAGGGAGCACTCAGGTGGCGAGACTTGGTTACGCGTTGACCAAAGTTAGTCTAACGTATGTATCTGTGATTCCCGTTTATGCATACAATAAAGTCTTTCGTGTCTCCACTGGAGCATTAATAATAATATACTGATGATGTTAAGAATGCATCAATGGTTATTAACAGCTACTTACGCAAAGGCGAATTTATTGTATTTGATTTAGATAGGCCTGAGGACGATCCTCTAGCAATTCGTTTAAGATTTGATACGCCACTAAACTTGCAGAAAGAGATAGAATTGCGACAAAAGAATAAAAAGTGAACCAGCTGATGCATAGATAAAAGATATAAAAATTCATGTGATTAAAATTTGTGGGATCTATTTCTGGTGTGTGGATCTACATTTGGGATAATAGTTGTATAATCTATTTCGGGTGTATTACAAGCATATGATTTAATTTTGCGATAGATGTTCTATACCCGCCATTTGAGATTGTTCTGTCCGAGATAAACAAATCTGAGATAAACAAATCCGAGATGTGCAAATCCGAGGTAATAAGTTTGGTTATAATATATTTTTTTTTGAGCGATACGAAATAAGTAGAAAATGGTATGAACTCTGGTTGAAGTCTGGTTATACATTCTCATAATGAATATATAATAAAATATAAATATGGGTTGAACACGGGTAGAACTCTGGTAGAACTCTGGTTGAACTCTGGTTGAAAATGGTAGAATGGACAGATGCGTATATAGATACTCTAATCGAAGAACGAAGAAATAGAAATATAGAATACCATAACCTCAGAAGAAATCGAAACGTATTTTAGCATAGTATTGCAGATAAAATCAATCAAAAGCATAATACTAATTTTACTAGTTATCATTGTAAAGAAAAATTTTTGAATCTTGTTCAGAGTTATAATGTAAGTTCTCACGATAAAGCATTATTTTTTATCTAGCTCGCTATTAACAAAATTTAGGGTTTCTAGGCAATGTGTGAATATATGGCAGGTAGTCGTAGAGCACAGAGAAATCGATTGGGTGCGCAATATTTTGATGAATTTCGTATGCATTTTTGGGAGAGGCCTGAAGATGAATTCGATAGAATCCGTACTATCAATACCTCAAACCGTAGACAAAATAGAAATATGGGAAATATAACACCAGCATCATCTATTGACGAAGTGTCATCAATGCTAAATCAGAGTCACCGTGAATCTCCCACTGGTCAAAGAGATCGGTCTGCATCTCCAATCCGAGAACTCCCAGCAGAAGAGACGAAACTACCAATCGAGATCATGCGAAAAATACAAATAATGCGGATAGAAATTCAAGCAATAACACAAATAATGCAGGCGGGAATTTAAATAATGCGACATACTCATCGTCATCTGAGTTAGCAAATATGATCTCAAAATTTAATACATCTATATCACGGAGTGACAGTGATCTTAGTATGCCGATAGTCAGCTACCTCAAGTGGAACCTATAAATGAGGAGAGAAATTTGTGAAGCAGGATATTAATACATCTAGATTTCGTCTGAAAAAGTAATAAAATTTATTGTTTATATTTTTTGTTATATGACAATATTAATATATTTCATAAAAAACCACATGCCTGAAAAATCAATTGTGTAATACAGATTAAGTTGTTTGATCAGGCACGTACTCTATAATACATATATCACAGAATAAAATCGAAGGTCATAGAACTTTTGATGCATGATGTAATCATATAACCCAAAATCGATTGCATAACACAGATGTTTGATTAGCATATACCACAGAATAAATTAGAAGGTTGTGGAACTTCTCTATGCATGATGTAATCGTGTGACTTATGATCAATATATATCACATATTATATCACAGAATAAATTAGAAGGTTTCATGTATGATATAATCGTATGACCTGCTGACTGTTACTATAAATTCTAAATCTGATTAACCAATTCGTGCCACACGCATTTTCTTTGTGAAAAATTTTTTCACTGTGCATATTTACATAGTAAATGCCTATGAGCTTGCATCGCTTCAGTTTCACATTCCCTAAATCCACTATTCCCATACCTAAATGAGAACAGAAATGAACAGAGGAAACGGTTTAAAAGGGTAGTATAGTGAAGTTATTGTTACTTGTCGCTTTTAGTGATTCTGTTTTTATTACATTTCTTACTCGTGATTTTTATATAGGGATTACACACTAATATCTATTATTTTTTATTATAACGAAAAATGGAAGAATTTCTTTTATCAAAAGAACCTCTTAATATTGTTAGAATTTCTACAGCTTTGTATACACGAGTAGAACATGGTGAATAGACTGGTATTCTCAAAAAGGAGGTGAAGAATTTTACGAATGTCCTAGAAAGAGTTTTGAAAAAACTCCCTTCAGGTGATGTTGAACAGAAAAAGAAGCTTCAAAGTTTTGGTACAGGAAAAAAATTAGCGAAACGGGTAAGACGATAAAATTTTTATAATAGAAGCAAAGCCTCATTGCTCCGCAATAAATATATGAATATGATGACTTGTATTTTTAGGTTTTCTAAAAGGTATATATGCTAGCGAATGCGCTAATGTCCATTGTGATTTTATCGCTTCCCGCATAGTAGTAACTAGTTATATGTGCCTAGAATATTAGTCATTGAGCTCATTGCTAGCAATTTTGATAGTTTTTGAAAATGGAAACCTAATCTGATCCCGAATTGTTATTCACTTTAATTAATAAAATATGTTAAGTCTAAGCTAAGTTAATTAAATTTTAGGTTGTAAGCGCATTCGAAAATTTATGCTCTCTAACAGAAATAAAGGCTCTGGTAATAGATGCCAAGACATAGTCTGACGATGCGAATGCAAATTTACGGTATTTGAAACGTGACGTTAGACAACTTATAAAAGAGAGCACTGGTTACGAGAAAACTATGTGGGAAAGAATAGAAATGGAATTGGAAAAAATAAATGTCGAAAGCCTTGGATTAATCATCTAATATGTTCTGGAGTACTTGATATTAAATCAGAACCTTTTACAAAGATGCTCAGATCACTTTGTGATATTTTTAAGGAGCCTTTCGAGAAATACAAGCTAGATCATAATGACATGATAATGAATACTTGTAAAGAGATTATACATAATGAGAGTTGAAGATAAATTTAGATGAAGAATTGCGTGATGTCGAATTTAGAAAATGGTTAGATAGTTCTGAAAGGCTTCGAAAAATAACGAGACGAATATTAAAATCTTTGTAAGTTCACTTGAGTTATCACACAGTATATTCTGCATTCTTATATATGTTAACTTGTCACTACTAATGAGTAATGTGAACAGGCAGGATCTTTTGTAGGTTTAAAGTTTAGAAATTGCCTAAGTATGAAGCCCATACAAAGAAAGGAAAATCTGTTAACAAAGGATCGTATGTCTGTGAAGTACTTGCGCCATTAATAAATATAGTAATGAGTGATTTACCTGGAAATCCTGTTGTATGAGATATATGGTAAGCAGTACTTTGGTATCGGCTATGAATGTTTCGTATTTAATGATTTTTATAAATAAGGTGAAGAGAAAAGTTCGGCTAGTATTATACGAAAAGGATCTCGCAAGTTTGCACGAAAACCTGATTATATGACCATAGCGCAATTAGGAAAAGATACAGAACTTGAAATAGTATATCTTGAAACAGGCAGACTAAATTTCAGTCAAGATAAACGCCGACGAAATCACAAAAAATTAATTCGATTTTCCAAAGATTCTATTGATACTACTAGGATTTTATCGAAGCTTAAAAGAATATTCAACCAATCGTCCAAGAGGCAGGATTTAACTATATTTGCTATTAACATCGCAGGTAATACATTATATTTTTTTTTTTCCTGAGACTATGTTCTTATATTACAAACCAGAAGTGAATATTTATGTTGCTTTTATTATAGGCGATAATATAGAACTTTATGCTATGTGTAGAGAGTCAGGTATTTACAAGTACTGTCTAATAGAGAAAGCAACAATTTCATTACATATAACTTCACCAAGTGCTGTATACCCACTTATATATGCTTTGATGACTCTGAGAACAGCCATCGCATGTATAATCTATAAGATATTATATAATTCTGATTCTGGAGATAGTGAGCATAATTCTGGTGAAATAACAACAACCATATCGACTCCTTAGAATTTCATAAATAGATATCCACTTCCGTTTTGTATTTTTTATTATGTGTCAGAGACACTAGCTCTGCTATATAAAATCATGTATCATCCGGCACCTATATGCCTATATATTTTTGTATTAACAAAGAGATAGATGTATTTCATCATTATATATGATCAGATTTAACTACATATATCGAAAATTTTCTATTGTGAAACAATGAAGCTTCGCTTCTAGCAAAAGTAATTAGCGTTCTCTGAAATACTTCTATGCTGATCTCTGATTCGTGGATTTAGGTTCAAAGAAGAGACAGAGTCTCGAATTTCTGATTCACCATTTCTTTGAAATAAAATACATGACATCGCTTAATTATATTTTTAGCCGAAAATCATATTTACTCAATTATTACATGTCAAACTCTAGTAATACCTATAAATTTCTGAATTGGATATTTATTATTATTAAAAAAAAAGATTATTATAGGAAATGTTGTCTTTGTATTGGTTCTCATTGAGTGGGCTAGACTTGATGATTCTGATTGCATTCAAGACAGACAAGACGTGCATTTCCTTCAATGTGACCTAATTTGTTATCAATTTGATAGTTATTGCAGAGCAGATCGTTAGGTGCAAATATAATGTTGAGCCAAAAGCGTATGATATCAGATGACATGAAATAGTTTAAGGTGACTTAAGTCGCTGAGGCTCGTAAAATGATTTAGTTGAGTGTTTATTCTTCCAGAATTTCACAATCTCCAAATAAATATATCGTTTCCATATCTTGTACTATCCACAATTTTGAATCAAATGGATTAACACTTCTCTTTATTTGCTTTATTCTATACATTCGATATCTGTAACTTCAGAGGAATTAAGCGGTTTGTGATTGATCCTCTTTTCCTTCTAAAACACAGTCCTCGAATATTTTATGTATAAGATCTTTCTTGATGAAAGACTTTTTAAGACCTTTAGCCTTGATCATATTTTTTCGTGAATTTTCACATACAACACTATAGCATTTTGCATGAACTCCTGCATAGCCAATAGCTCTATTTCCTCCATTTTCATCCTTCCACTTGCCTATAACTTTAGTATTTTTTAATACACGCTTACCTTCTTCATTAATTATCTATTAATCTTCTGAAAGATTCTTTACTACCTAATAATCTTTAGGGTAATCGCTAAAATCGAATAAATCACAATCATCGATCATGTCTTGATATATATTTTCTGTCTCAATTTCTATAATTAACAAATCAGTATCAGTATATAAAAGTTTTACCCGATCTCTATATTTCTTTTTAAGGTATCCATATCAGAAATCATACATATAATATTTAGAAAGATCGAGAATACATGCTCCTACATATTCAGGTTTATTTAACTTTACATTAATCTGTCTTCGATGTACTGCTACTAGATTAGTCCCATAGAAAATTTTCTGACTAACAAATGCTGAATTAGATATTAATTGACATAATCATCATTCTTCACCTACCTGTCGAACCAAATCTATGTTCACTCGTTTTCTTACATCTTCCATAGTCTTCCAAAACACTGAATTATTCATTAATTTCCAGAAGTCTTTTTTGAATGCATTTTTTGCTTTTGCTCGTCGTTGCGTATTCATTAATATATAGGGTTCCATCCAAGGAGATTGTTCGAAACCTAAAACTCTATATACTTTTTCTAAAACATATCCTTCTCTTACATGCTGCTGTAGATTTCTATAATGAATAACGTAATGGTCTTTATCATGTAGAGTTAGTATAAGTTTTTCTGTATTGGGACGTTATTTTCCTATCTATTCTTTTTGCTTTGATCTGTACCAATCATATGGTACTTTCATTCGTTCTGGACACATTGGGTAGTCTTGAAACTTTGGTTGTAATTCTTTTAGAATCGATAGTTTAACCTCTAAACAACATCCTCAATTTGATTTTTCTTTTAACGATAAAATTTTCTGCACTAATAGGGAAGATGTCTCGACTGGCTTTGATGTTAACCATTTAAATTCTCCAGTTGGTAGATATTGTGACATTGCCCAACCATAGAGGTTATTAGCATCCAAATAAAGTAACCATTTTTTCACTTTTTTTCCATCATACCCTTCTAATCCTGAAATATTTGCTCGAGCTATATGCCTTCTAGCTAAAGACATTCCTCCTCTCTTCATAGCTGTAAAGAAATCATGCATATCCCCTTGATGCTCATTAAATAATTCTAGCTTAACTTTAGTTACCTTCATACATGCATCTCATGCTAAATCTGGTGCCGTTAAATAATTTGCTGGATCAAGCTTGAATGCTGAATATGAAGCTTTTCAGAATGCTTCGAATGCATCTGCTAAAATCAATACATCAGTTTTAAGATAAATATTGTGATAATCTCCAAAAGTCTTGCATTCTGTTTCTTACCAGACCGTATGTGCAAAATCATAATCCTTTTGAGATATGGTATAAATTTTTTCGTATTCACATTCTTTGTTTTCTTCACATTCATTGCAATTACTTAGTTCTTTTTTATGCTTACATTTCTGACATTTATGTTTGCATTTCCCTATCTTCTTTCCATGCTCACATTTTTCTATTCTACAATTATGATTACAGTAATTAAACCCATCTAAATTAGTATTAAAATCCTCACGTGAAGGTAGTTGTGTCTCATTAAATTTCATTTTATTATTTAACCATTGATATGAAAATATTCCTTTACGTATAAGCAATGATAATAAATGAGGTGAGATGAATTTTGATATAATTGGAAAAAATTTTGCCAATTGTTCTGGTGTTTTAGTTTGGCCCTTCTTTTCATCACATAAGTTTTCTGCCATCTTAGCTAAACCAGGTAACGAAAATTTTATACTATCAATAATTTGAAGCTGACCAACTGAGAAAGTAATATATTGCTCAGAATTATTTGCTATAGGCACTATTTTTTATCCATCACTTTTGCTATTTCTTGCATTAGATGATGAAAATCGTAGCCACTTCCATTACATAATAATACTAGAATTTTTATTATTTCTGGATCGATTCATAATTTAAGATTACAACTACTATGTATTACTCTGCGAAACTTTCCTGTAATATGATCATAATCTATTACTCTATTTTTTCCCTCATCTGATAATTGTGTTTTGCAGTATATACATACCTTACAAGATTTATGTTTTTCTTTTTGCTCATCATCTAACTTACCTTGAATCATTGGTTTTTCCCGTGACATTTTCTATGTGAAGTACCCAAGTATTTTTAGTTTCAGGATTGAATACACAAATTTTATTATATCCAGCTTCATGTAAATTTTCTTCACATCCCCAACATTTTTTTGCCATTTGATATTTTCGCCATAATTAAGTGTCATTTTTTTACATGAAACTGGATCACAAAGCTTATCTATAATAACATCCAAATCTTCTTGAAGGTTTTCTATTAAGTCTTTTATTATATTTTTTGATTCTCGATTAATTACTGGTTTTTGTATAGTCCTATCTGAACAGTGTATTGTATATCCATATAAAACTGCTTTTTGTTCTGCTATTTTTATAGTATTTCCTTCTTTATCTTTTTCCTCTACTTCGATTTCTTCTGCTTCTAAATCCATATCGATTATATAAGGTTTCATTAGCATGTTTTTAATATACTTTAGTTTTACATAATTTTTATCCTCTTCAGAAAGAATTAATCGTTGTGATGCTTTACTTGGTCCTGGACATATTGGAATATGCTTTTCTAATAAATCTAGTCGACTATAAGAAAATTGTAAGCATTTTCAGCAAAAGTATTTTTTTCCATGATGGTTATTCCACTTACGTATTAATCGAGTAAAATCTGTTATAAATACGTAATGCGTTTTTAATCCTTCTGGTATATCATTTGTATTTTTTCGGTCATTTAAATTCTCTTCACCTTCTGTTAAATATAATAAATCTATCATATGTTTGACTTGATAATTTCTTTCAGAAATATGTAATGGGTCTATATCTACTTTTATTTTTCTGAACACTTCTTTATACACTGGCCTAAATATATTTATAGTATAGTTTGGGTTATTTTTCTCAAATTTGTCAACATCATGTAGTGTTGCTGGAAAATTTATGCCTTCAAAATTAGCTATATTACCATATCATCTAATCTTGCTTACACATTCAAGATGTATAGGTTTTTGTCCTGCTTTTAGTGCATCTTTTCTTGCATGGTATATATTAACACAATCTCTAAAGCATTCATTGTCTTTGAAATTTTGTGGATTAATTAAACCGAGCTGTAGCTTATCTAAATCTTCTGGTAAAGATAGCCAACTACTACCTCGTAATAGTCTGAATGTGCTTATTTCAAGAAATACTTCTACTGCTCGTACAAAAGTCCATCCAGATTCTTGTATTGCTTCATCCTCAATTTGGTCTATAATTTCATTATATCCTTTTTCTATACTTGCATTAATTCGATCTTCTCTTATAATTTCTATTGTTTCATGCTTGAAAGGAAAAGTTTTAAATATAGGTTCTTGAGATTCTGGCGTTTTTTTCTTCATATATGTGAATAATACAATTCTTACCTTTAATCCACCTTTTAGAGTTAACTTTCTTCTGTAAACATCTGCAATTTTTTCTTCAATTAATTCAAAGAAGGCTAATGACCCACCCTCAGCATAGTATCCTTTTGGTACAAATGCATAATAATCACACACTTCACCTTCATTAAAATTTTCTGCTTCTGATATTCTATTAATATATGGATCTTTGATTTTCTCGAAATAGATATCAGGATTTTCATCAGCTGTATCATATTCTGAAGAAGCAGAGCTTCGATATTTCACATCATCGCTTAGTTCACTATCTTCATCATCGTTTTCCATTAAATCATACCATTCCTCATCTGTTTTGGGTATGGGCTTTGATCTAATTTTTTGTTATTTTTTATTCCTGATTTTGATAGCCATTTTATTAATTCATCTATCGTTAAAATTGATTTCTTTTTTTGTTCTTTTTGAGTATTAGAACTTGGTTCCGCTTTTATATCTGAAATATCATCAGTTAAAAGATCGACTACCAGCACATTTTCTTCTCTCAGCTGGGCTAGCTGGTATGACAGTAGGTTTTTGGCAAATGATATAAGATCACCTTCAGGAGTCAGTGCTGGATTTTCTACTGGGTTTTCAGCTGGATTTTCTACTGAAGCTAGAACTGAGTTTTGCATTAAATGCAAAGCCGGTAAACATTGACCTTTATGAAAGTTTTCATTTAAATTCATGTATTTATTAAGATCTCAGGTTTTACCAGTTCTTATTTCTCAATCACAACCTGGACATTTAAGTATCTTTACCATAGTAATATGTAATCTGTGTTTTTATTATTATAGTCAGATCTTTTGTTTAAATTAAAATAATTAATTCAGTTATATAAATTTATTGAAATGCACAGTAAATATACTTGTGAATATATACACAACTCCGGAGAAGTCTGTGGATGCAGATGCTGATATCGTAAAGGATGCCACGAATATTAGAGAGCAAAAAAACGTATTTTATGTAAGATTTGTAGTAAGCTAACTTCTTTTACACCTGGTACTTATAAAAAATATGCTAAAGGATATTATGTTATGCAGTTTTATGCTCAACAGATGCAAAACATCCTTATTCCATAAGACTTCAGATGTTTGAAGAGTGTCCATAGGGTTAGAAAATCGGCATAAGTTTAATTAATATTGCTAGATACCATAGCATCCTCACTTTGTGAGACCAAGAAATACACCTGTCACGTACCTAAAGCTTAGCCCATTGCTTTGCAATAAATTTTTAGCACTTATTATAGAATAATAACACTTCATGTCTGTGCTTACTCTGCTAATTATATTTTTTACTATACTCTTTATCAAAAGAATACTTTAAGAATGCTACTGCTTCACTTTACTTTGCAGTATTAAAAAAGCTAATTGTTAACTAAATAGATAACTAATACTCTACTACGCTTCACATTCAGAGTCGCTATGCTCCTCTAGGATAGAAAACGGTTTAGTAATCAAATAAGATAACTATGCTCTGCTACGCTTCACATTCAGACTCGTTATGCTCCTCCAGATCAGAAAACTAAATAGTAATCAAAATAGTTAACAAAAAAATACACCAAACGTGAATAAATCATCATTGATTTGACGTCGCAATCGAGTTTTTATCATCAAATAGAGAGGATATGCTCACAATAATAGAAAGCTAAATAGTGACCAAATAGGATATCAAAAAATACACTATTCATATTTCGCATTCCCCTAAAAGTTTATGCTCACAGTAATAGAATGCTAATTAGCAGTCAAATAAGATAACTATGCTCTGTTACGCTCTGCAACTGCATCGCATATACTTAAGGTATATGCTCCTTAGTGTTAAAAAGCTAATTGTGAATTAATCAGATAACTAATGCTCCACTACGCTTCACATTCGGAGTCGCTGTGCTCCTTCGGATCAGAAAGCTAAATAGTAATCAAAATAGATATAAAAAATTACACTACAAGGTGTCATATATAAAAAAAAACACACTGCATATAGATTTATATAAGTTTATTAGGAACATAGTAAAAGACTAAAATCTATAGAAAACGGAAGTATTTAAAAAAATTACACCCAAAATTGTCCTAAAAAGCCCACTAATATATTACTCATTAATATTAACTGAGTTATTGAGTTATTGTAATTTGAAATTAAATCATTTTTATAATATAATTAACTGATTAACTAATAAAAATTAAGTTATAAAATCACGTGCTTCGTCATAGTAAAAAAATTCATTATAAGAAAAATTTATTATATCAAGAGTCATTTTTATATATATTGTTTAAGAACTTAATTTCACATAAAGTTATAGCAAATATAATTAGTAAAATTTGCTATATCAAAAATTTTTTTATATGTTAAATCTGTTTCACACTAAAAATTCACTATATCAAATAATTTGCTAATTAAAATTCATTATATTAAGTATTAACTATATGTAATATTTAAATATATATGACTAATTTATATATTCATCTTAAATTCATGATAAAAAACATTTTATATTTATCTATTAACTTAAAATTTAAATTTATTTAAACTATGGTCTATTGTTATTAGTTAAGTATTTTTTTTATAAACTATATTAGGGTTTTGTTATTTATATTCTTTAATATTATATTCTTTTTTAAATAGGAACTACAGATTTTAGAAAACAAAAATATATAATAAATATTATTCTCTTTGGTTATTAATTTATAAAAATTTTAAAAATAATTTTTGATTTATAATATTTTAAATTTGATATTTTGAGGATATTATTATTTTATATAATAATAGTAATAATAGAGAACTTTTAAATTTTATTATTCAATTGTAATACATAATATATCTCTTTTATATTTAAGTTAGTATTTTAAAGAAATTTTATATAATTTAGATACTTCAAACAATCATTTACTAGAATATTAAAAAAGAAATTTTATAATAAATTGGATCTAGTTTAATTGATAATAACTAAGCTTATATTGTGAATTATATTGTAATAGCTATAAGTTCAGGTCTTGGCTGAGGTATAAAACTAGATGATTTTTATAAGAATTTTATATATAACTGAATACGTAGATGTATAGACTAATATGTGTTAGAAACTAGTAGATTAATTTATCGATCTATATTAATTATATCTAAATACTAAATTTTGAAGAATATATAGATGCAAATATTAAGGATTAACAGAAACTTGATCTTTACTGACAGGTCTGTAATAAATACAATCTTACGTCTTTAAACTTAAAGGGTTCTTATATAAGTAAGAAAGTGGTTAACTAGTTATTAGTAGATTTAAAATGTATTACAGACTGATTTGCATATCGTAGCTATAGGCTAGATCTTATTATCATTAAAGTTAGAAATCAGATTTAATTTTTAGATAAGTTTAACACTATAGATATAAAGTCACTATTCATATAAAGAACTTGATCTCTTGATTTCAGAAGTTAACAATAAGGTAAAATCCTATACGTATTTAGTAAAAATAGTACATTAATTATTGTAACTGAAGTAAGTCTCTATCCAATTCTAATAATCAGTTAAAATCTGAGTAAAGGCTTATTGATACAGAAACTAAGATCAAAGCCATTAACTATTAGACTATAATGCAGATGACAACCCTTATTATATAGATATATGTAATAAGATTATACAATATTTATTCATATAAAACCTAAGGAGATGAACAGATTATTTGCGAATATCTTCTCTTAACCCTATCTCTAAAGTAAACATATTTTTTTTAAAAAAAAAGAAATTTTATAATAAATTCTATAAAAATCTAACCAATTCTAATATAATACTTTCTATTATAGTAATCTAAATAATAATCTTTACTATTAATATTATAGTATTAAATTTGAGTTTTTTATTAATATTTTTAATATATAAGTATTAATAGGTCACATTTGGATTAAATATATCACAATAAATTAATAATATAAATTTTAATTTCTTAAATAATTGTAATTAGTCTAGAATAAAGATAGTAACTATAATTAATATGTTGCAATATCTAATATTATAATATATATTACAATTATGTTGCAATTATTAATGATATTTATTAATTTGTTGCAATATATAGTAATTAATTTAAATAATAATTATATAATTGTATATAATTATTATATTTTATTTATAGAGTAATTTATTATAGAAAAGTTTATTTAAACTTTAGACAGGATATATATATAAACTATTATTTATATTAAAATACATTAAAGAAAACATTCTTTTTAATATTAATATTAAATATAAAAGAATAATTATAAAAGTATTTTCTTTATATTAGAAGTAAAAGATCAGTTAGTAATAATTAAAATTTCAAATAAGTTGAGTTAATTCATAAGTTAGTTAAATTAAGTTAAATTTAAATCAAATTGAGTTTATATTTTTTGGCTTGATAATTTGCAAGTCGAGTTTGAGTCTAGTTAAATATTTAACTCAACTTGAACTTGACTTAACTCAAGTTAACTTAAAACAGTATTAATATTTTTAAACTATAAAAATTATACATTATAATAATTAAAGTACTTTATAATAGTTGAAATGTATTATAATAGTTAAAAACTAGCCGTTGAACCTGTGCTTCACAATGGCATATATACACGTGATGTCATTATTATAACGGTTAAATGCTTAGTAATCGGTAGTACAGCATTCAGTGGCTTGGCAAATCGAGACAGTTCAAAATTAAAATTTTTTAATGTATCGAATATTAC